CTTTGTCTTGTTGGGACTACGCCACGTGCGCTCCGTACGTCGAAATTGACATGAACCCAACTGACCCCGCCGCATACAAAGACGCAATATTCTTTTCGGGTCATAAATTCGTTGGGGGTCCTGGATCGCCCGGTGTCTTAGTAGTCAAGATGAAATGGTTGAAAAATGAGGTGCCCACAATACCTGGTGGTGGCACTGTGCTGTTTGTGACAGAGAAGGCTCATACTTACCTTGCTAATAAAGTAGAGCGGGAAGAAGGTGGTACTCCCGATATTCTAGGAAGCATCCGTCTTGGACTTGCTTTCGAATTGAAGCAACGAGTTGGTCCTAAAAACATCGCAGACCTCGAGCACCAACATGTGCATCACGTGCGTGAGGTACTTGGGAGAAATGCAAATATAATATTGCTTGGTTACGACAATCAGGACCAGTTGCCAGTTTTCTCCTTCCTCGTTCGCTTTGGAAGCCGGTTCTTGCATCACAACTTTATATGTGCTCTGCTAAACGACTTATTTGGTATACAAGCCCGCGGCGGCTGTCAGTGTGCTGGACCCTTTGGAGCTCGCTTGCTTGGTCTCAGCCGAGAACATATAATTGCTCTTGGCTACGCAGTCGTTGCTCAAGACGTGATTCTCAAGCCAGGTGTGACTCGCTTAAGCTTTCCGTATTTTATCGACAAAGAGGAAATTGGGTACATTCTAAAAGCTGTGAGCTTTGTGGCTGACCATGGCTGGAAGCTCTTGCCCCAATACAAGTACAATCAGCAGAACGGAGCTTGGTGTCATGTTTCGCCGGCATTGATTCCTTTTTCGGCCAAAAAGTTTCTCACGAGCATGCAGCTTGACGATGTAGATACGGTGCGACAGTCAGTGTGTGCTTCTCCTATATGTAATCTTGCTGCACATCGTACCAAGAATCTAAAACAAGCAGCCATTTTGGCGGATGCCTGTATCAAGAAGGCTGCGTCGGCTGACAATATTCTGGAAGACCAGAAGGTGATGCAAGCCCACGAGTGGTTACGATGGTTTGTGTACCCACACGAGGCAGTTCTTGCGTATAAAGAGAATGGTAAGAAACCAGCACTTACTGCGATAATTGAGGGTCCGTGCCAGCCACAAAACTATTTAGACGGCTCGGTTAATGGAGTGTGGGACGGCACTTCATCTATATCTGAGATGAAGAAGAGTTTGTTTGGACGAATTGCCCTCAAAGTTTTCATGCAAGCAGAATTGAAAGCAATGAAAGACAAGGAGGTAGCCGATGCTGAAAATGTTGTACTGAAGGACGATGTGGCTATACACGCTGCCGTTTGTAGCTAATCCTAAAAGCTGTATTGCGCTTTTAGGAGTGCACAACCGTACTGCTTTGACATAAGTTTGATTTGTCTAATTGCTAATTAAATAAAATTTATGTTGAAGCTTTGTGTATTTGGATACTAGATGGATCCCAAGAACACGAATGTGCAAAAACTCTTGAGACCGCGAAGGTGGTGTGGCTTTGGCCGATAATCGAGCAAATGCTACCTAAAACCAAACGTATTGTATTAGTCAAACACTAGACGTATGTAAACTGGTATTGATTAATCCAACAACTGACGCTAGGACTTGTGCCGCAAAGATTATTACTTCATGTCTGCAAAATTAAGTTTTGACTGCACCTCATTCTTGTTTAATTTGAGCGAAAGTTATGAATACAAACAGAACTCACATTTTTGCCGCGCTTGAAAAAGCACTTTTGACGAAACAGATTATACAAGTCTTCACTATACGCTCAATATCTGGGTAATTACAACGTAATTCGGTAGATGAATCTGTTTAGAACCGATCGCTCTTGTTTGTTTGATGGGCAGTAACGCATATTTTTTCTGACGCTGTCGAAAAATGCAGATGAAAAATGGTATTAATTCGTCATAAATTTGGGATATCCCCAATTCTGATTACACGTGAGCATTCATTTGCTCAAATTTTGACCCACAAACTATCTACTGACAATAAAGTTCTGCTATAAAATTAACTCTGCATCCGCAACGAAACTTTCGTTCGACAGCAAACCTAATCTCTTCAATGCAGCTTGCTTTCATCTCCGACGAGAAGTTGTTCCAGGATTTTTGCATCAAGTTGCAGATCATGGTGCGATCTAGCCGCTTGAATTTGGATGTAACGGGGTTACACGAACCCTAATAAAAGGGGTGTGTGTGTCACACGAGATGAGCATGGTGTGACCACACGTCAAAACAAGAATAC